TCCTACAAGGGAAAACAGACGGGCTTAAATGACCTCACAGGATTTTTCACTTATTGGACTGAACCTTTTGGAATTTTCCTCAGGGCTGTAGATTATCACCCCCAAAATATTTCAAAATAACACCTGGATATTTATACAATTACAAATATCGGACAACTTGTGCATTCAGGTGATAATCAATTGAGTAAAAGTTTTAGCAGTCCCCCAACTACTGCACGTTTGTTCCTTTGCATGCAGAATAAAAAAAGATCGCAACAATGTCTGCAGCAACACTTGGTCGGTTTTTTGCAGGGTCAAACTATTCAACCTTTGTTGCTCCGAAGCATTCCACTTGCTGTAGTATGTCCAAGTTTTGTTAAGCTGATATGTTTTCACATTTAAAAAAAAAATGTATATAATTATCGTTTGTTTATTTTAATCTGCCGTGCTAATTTGTCTGCAGATAGACTGGAGAAAACAAACAAACAAACAAACAAACAAACAAACACAATCACAAAAGGGAGATCACTCACAGCCAGCAAAGCGCCTGCGCGAGAGCTCTAATTATCCTTTAATCTGCTGCTGTGCGTCAGCCAGAGCGTAGTAGGGGGGCGTGTTGAGCCTTGGCGGCGGCATTCCTTGTTGTTCCGCAACAAGGAACAACAACAACTTGCTGCAAAACCAAGATATGTTTCAAAAGCCTCCAGCGTGAAACAGTGGGTGCCAGAGTTGCTATAGAAACCGTTGAGCCCACCAACAAGCTAAGATTGTCAGAGATATTAGAGATAGAGAGGAAAAAAAAAACCAAAAAAACGTGCACGCACGCGCACATACATAAAATCGTTCGTGTGTGTGTGTGTGTGTAAGGTGTCTGTTTAGAGAGATAAAGATGTTTTTGGTTTTCGGTCGACATGATTGACCTGTTATTGCTGCACTAGCCCGGCAGCAGCAAAGAGAGGACAGCCACAAAGAAAAAAGGATGTGTCTAATACATGAAAACACTTGAAGGCACAAAAGGAAATGCACACACACTCAGTGTATATGAGTCAGGTTAGCTAATGATCTCTAGATGTGTTGATTCTACCAGACTGACTGGGGCTCACTCATTACCCAGTGTACTTTTCAAAGACTAATGCGAGCCTTTGATCTGCTACCACTCTCGCCCACTCTCTTCAGCGTTTCCTTCTCAATTACACATTATTCATGTTATTTTCTGAACTCACAGCTGGCACAGTATAATCTTTATTAATCTCAGTCTCTCAGAGTCCAACATGTAATAGTCTCTGTTAAACTGATGGCGAGATAAAAACCATTATGCTGGATGGAAAAATATGAAAATGATTACTTTACAAAATCACAAAAAATAAAGGTGAAACCAAAACATATTCGTAGGCCATACAAATTTGACATTAATCTCAATGCTATCCTCTCACTTCTATCCACATTGAGTCTGCAAAAAAGGCAATTGTAGTTTCATACATGCGTTTTTCAGACATACACACACAAACAAATGTGCAACTATCTTTCTGACCTAAAAGTAGAAATGTTTATAAAAACCATCTGGTGACTCTAATTAGCCAAAAAGCCAACCTTTTTTTCTGATCAGTGAACACACCCTAATAAGCACTACCAGTTCCTACTGGCCACAAACTTTGGTGTGGATGGTGATGCTGAGGAAAGAAGACTCAAATGTAACTTTTTAAAACTCAGCAAGTCACAGAAAGAGCAGAAACTGACCAGCTCTACGTTAGGACAGTCCCGAAACATTGGCCGCATGCTGGGAACCTCATGATTGAAGTACGAATCTACATTCTCTATGTAAAATATATGCAATGAGACAAATGTTTTTGTAATTGTTGTGCAAACACAAATGCTAAACCAAGCAACCAACAAAAAATCCCAGAAACTGTTTAACTCTGTCACATGATGGTGTGATGTCACATCTGCTCCAAATGCAATAACTGCACATGACAGGGAAGATAGAACAATATTATGAATTTTCCTCTTAAATCTTCTTGCATTTTAACGCTTAAATCAGGAATCTCATAAAACTGGTGTCAGTGAGTCAAAGCTTTACAAAAAGAGAATAGAAATGTCGGTAATCTATGCAATAACGAGAGGTAGTGGAATAAATCCTTGTTGGAGTAATCCAGTTATCATAACTCACCTATAAGCTCCTTGTTCCTGATGTCCAGCGCCATGTTTCGGAGAGCTGTGGCGACGGCACAAACTACTTTGTCGTTGTCTATCCTCAGTAGCTCCACCAGAATGGGAAGGCCTTTCTCTTTACGGACAGCGGCCCGAATGTACACTGACCACTTCCGGGAAGAAGATGACAAGAAGATGGTTAAAGACTTCCAACAACAATCTAAATCAGAATCTATGACACTTTTTTTAGATTAAACGATGCTGATCTGTGATGGCAAAGTACAGATTCGTTCAGCTTCTCCAGACTGTTGCAAAGAGATAAACTCACAGTTTTCTTCATCTTTATGGCAGAAATAGGGAATCATTTCCTCCCGACCCCTTGGGATTTGAGGAACTGATTCATCATAAGATATCGACAATCGTATGTCTTGGCTTAGGCCTAAACGTGCAGAGCTAAGAGAGTGCGCCAACATTGTCAGCAGATATGTTCTCGAAACACAGAGACAGATCTTATTTAATGAAAAAGTATACACACACACACACGAGGACCACCTGCTCCTGCAATTTTCCTTTCTTCTGCTGATTTTTCAAGAGCCATCCTATTCAGCCTCTTACGCTTTCTTTGTCCACTCTGCTGTCGGTGGAAGTGCTTATCAAATCAAAATCAGTTGCAAACACCTCGCAGGCATCTCGACAAGACTGATGAAGAATACTCTCAGCTGCAACCCTTCTTGCTTTTGCCTTTTGTGTTCATTTTCTTTCGTTCACCTACCATATTTTAATGCATTCTTTTCCTTATCGGACAGCCAGGCTGCTTATAAACAGCCGTACGATGCAGTTATATAAATATCCAAGGCCGCCCTACAGTGGTACACTGTATACTCCGTCTTTAACCCTCATATCTCTTCCTGGAGGCACAAGTTGCCCTGACAGTACCATGGCCACTTGAGTCATCCATTATAGTCATGTAGTCTCCTCCCTCGGTTCACTCCTTGTGGAGTCTTCCTCCAGTCCCTGGTGCATTTTAAACAGCAAGCAACAATAACAAACGTGTGCATTGCCTCGGAATAATATTACAAGGTTCATAACGCAAACTTCCCGAGATTAAGATCTAATAAAACAGCCGGGTGCTGCTGTCAGCGAATGCAATACTGTTTTGACAGACTTTGTCATAAGTGGAAGTTCTTTCTGCTCTGTGGGAGTAAAAGGAAACACTGTTTCATTCAAGAACAAATCCTCACCCCCGTCTTAAGTGTGCTTGTTTACATGGCCCCTTATGAAACAACAGGACTTTTGAAATCTCAAAAAGAAAAAAAGTAACTTATCTTGCTCAGCATGACCATTCTAATTCTAATTTTCATCGCACCTCTCGCCGATAATCCCTTCTACACACGTGGCATTTTAAAACAATGGAAAATGGGGTCAGAGAGGAGATTAAGCTAATGAAAAGCTCTATCTTATTTTAATAAATCAAATGGGAAGTAGATATTGATTTTGAGTACAAAGAAAAATATATCTGAACTCCTTTTTCGGGTCTGTGGATACCTTCCAGCTGCCTGCAGCGAGGTTCTGTAGGGCTCCGGCGGCGCCTTCGAGCGTGTCGGGATTGGAGCATTCAGAAAGCAGAGTGAGGTATGGCTTCACAATGGTGGGGTGCCACAACATCTGAACCCCTTTGGGAGGCTCGGCTGTGTCGGGAAAGGGACTCACGCCATCCCACTGCGAAAGATCAGAGCAAATGACACAAAGTTGTAATTTAAGTTCATATTTAGCAAGAAACTGTGCTCGCTGCTCATACTGGTCAGCTTGTTGCTGTGTGGAAGCATCCAAAGGCTGTCACAATACACGGTGCTATAAGTCAGCAGAAAACAGGAAGCTAAGCATGTTTCTTAATCCATACAGCAGCAGCCTTCAGTCAGAGGCCTCTTTAGTTTTGTTGCAAGACTGACTGCTCCCATAACTTAAAATATTTTGCTGTGTTTGTACATTTTGAGTGACACCGACAGAGAGTTCTGTAATTTTGGGCCGTTTTTAAAATACAGTCTTATTTTACGGTAACCATGTTATTGCTAAGACATAAATAAAGTGTCCTCTTGTTGCCTACAATGATTATAGAGAAATGATGATCAGCAATCAGTATTTGCAGGCCAGAGCTTCACAGAAATCGGTGATGAGAAAAATCTCTGACTGGGGCATCAGTCATGATCAGACATTTTCAAAGCAGCCCCAGCTTTTAAGTAAATGACATTTGTGTGCGTGTAGTGAAATTTTAATTGTAACAAACAAGCAACAGTGACGGTTGCCGTCTGTTTTGCATGTTTCACATGGAAAACGTTTCATTTTCAACATACATGTTGCACACCGATGTTTTTAGCAGCTTCTGTCTGCCGTTTCTACGTTTACCATAGTTACTGTGTTTTAGCCTGCTGATATGAAATTCATTGGATGTGCCATTATTTAATAACATTCTTCAATAATAAGAATGTCGTATTATGGAAGAAGGTTGTCATTAGACATAACATTCCTTAATAATACAAAATTGTAACTGTAGTGCTGCAGTGGTTTTGAACAAATAACAGCTCTTCTGTGTTGGGAAGGAATACATTTCGCTGTTTTTGACTTAAGAAAAAAAAACAAAAGACTGTCATCTGTCATCTTTAGCAACTTGAAAAACATTGCTCCTTATTGTCACCTAAAAGGCATCCAGGACATTCTCTGGTACAGAGGCAGCTGCACATAGTGCTGCAACACGACGTACTAGGATATAGGAAAACAAAAGATGACGGCAAATACACTTAAGAACTAACAGTCAGATCTGTTTCTTATTGCACTGCTGGAAATGGAGGTACTCATTTGTACAAACAGGCCAGTTTTACCATGTCTCTATCTTGGGATTTTTTCAGTTCCAGGAAGACTTCTTTAAGTCTGTAAATATATAAGTTTTACTGGAATTGAACAAATTCCAGAAAACATTCATTATGATACTCCGAACAGCTAGATCATCTCTGGAAAACATTATTCCGACCCATTGTAATTCTGTGTCGTTTTGCCTTGGTTTTTCTTTCCACGCCTCTCTCAGATAAGGAGAAACCTCACTGCCTCCACTTTATTCATATTTCTTTATTATGTTGTCCCTTTTTCTCCGTCTGCCTTTCTCAATTCTCTACTTGGATCTCTATGTCCTTGCTTCCCTGTTTTTATTCTAACCCTTACCCCTCAGACTGCTGCGTTTTTCATCTTTCTGTCAACACTTTCGGCTTTGCTCTACTGATTCCCCTTCTCTTTGTCTCCAGGTAAACTGGGGAAGCGTGCGACTTCAGAGAGTTTCTATCGAGTGCGCAAGATGGGGAATGCGTTTTTTTGATCTATACATAGATTCTCTGATCGAGAAAAAAAAATTAAAAAAAAATCAAAGACGTGTGGAAGTCTAATGTGTGCAGAAAATGTTAAGTAATTCACATTGTTCTGTGTCCTAGATGGTATTGTATACAGGAATGTTTTTGATGGAGGCAATGTGGGCAGTTGCCCTTGGAATCATCAAACTGGGGTGGGGAATGAGTGATAATAAAACAACAAAAAAAAACCTCCAAAAACCAAAGTGCCTTTGTACCTCTTAGCTGTGCCCTGAATGATTCCTGTTTTGCACTTTGTGCGTGTGCAGACAGTCAGGGGTTGGTGCCCTGCTGTGTTGAGTAGGTGCACCCTGTTAGCTGCTGACAGACAGAGCAGGTCACATGATTAAGCTGCACAGCAATTTCCCCTGCCAGACACACTGATAGGTTTTCACCAGGTATGGCTGAGCTGTCAGTCAAACTGAACCCGGGTGGAGTGGAGCAGAAGTAAACCAGTGATGTCCTCAAAGCCTTTATCTAGACAGAGCCTTGGTGCTATGTTAAGGGAAGTTCATCCGTCCATTGTCTATACCCAATCAACCTTGCAGGGTCATGGGGGGGGGGGATGCAGCACATCTCCGGCAGTCTCCTGGACAGGCTGCCAGTCCATCACAAGGCAACATGTGAACGCGCAGGGAAAAAAGAACCACGCACTCATAGCAATTTAGAGAGACGAATCAGATGAAACAGTCGTGTTTTGGGTTTTGGAGAGAATCCTCATGTGCACAGGGTGAACATGCAAACTCCATGCAGAAAGACTCCAAACTGGGATTCAAACCCAGAGCATTCTTGCTGCAAGGGTGGCAGTTAAGGGGTAACGGGAAGAGCCACAGGGAAATTTGAACAGATTATGTCTTTGCAAACCAGAAGCGTATGTGTGGATGTCTGCATCATGGATTTAAAACGGAAAGGGAAATATGTCGCACTAATGGGCAGAAGCATGGCCTAGCTAACAGCTGCATATTACATATTTTTGTTTTCAGTCGGGGAAGGCTTCTGACAGAGGCAACACACTCATGAAAAGTAGAATTATTTCTTTGTGTGGTTTAATAACCAGCAAATAACTGCTGACTTCATTCATTGTTGAACTCTTGTTGTGTAACATTTGTTTCAAAATTTCAGTGAAGTCCAGTAGTTGTATTTGGGTGCAGAAGGAGACACGAGTTCATGCAAGAACTTGTTATGGACCAACTGTTGCTAATATTGAAATGAAATTATTATTTTTTTCATTCCAAATCAAATATTTTTAGAATCAATCAGCTCAGATTCTTGAAAGGCATCCACTGCTCCCTGCTGAATATGTTCTGAACCTCCGATTAGTCTTGTTAGTTGGTCGAGTTGACAGCACTGGTCAAGATGAAAACAGAACAGCAACAGGCTTTTTTTCTATAGTTTTAGAACAGCAATGTAGTACTATTGCTGGTTCCAAAACCACATTATAATTATAATTAATCCAGTCTCTTAGCTTATATCCCTCACATATCTACGCTGAGTGTCTAATCTGAATGTCTGTGATCAACTCCTCACCCTTAGGACCTTCTCTGAAGAAAGGTTTACACTGATGCCTCATGTATCTCCCTGGAGCAAACAGTTGATGCTTCAAAAAAAATGAAACTGAAATGTGAAAACTAAACAAAAACGAACTTACAGTCAAGCCCTCTTACCGGGGCTTGTTTTATGTTTTCATGTAACTTAAAAGCATCAAGAAAAGTCAACTGTGCTGATCATTTTCAACCATAAATTAATGCTTAATTTTAGCGTATTTAATAAGCAATTCTCTTCATAAAAAAAGAACAGTATAGGAAACGGGTGGCATAATTGGTTGCGTATATTTTGGGTCACATATATCCGAGTTGTGCAAGTGGAATGTTCGTAAATGCAAAACTAGAGGTAACCACTATTGTTAAAAACAATTACAAATTAACGCCTTTGACTTTAAATAGGAACAAAAAAGTGGAGAAAAAAAAAGCAAAACGCCTGACGTTGGGTGTCCCCAAAAACGGCAGACCCCATTCACAACCTGGATAAGAAATGCATCAACAGTGGAAATGATGGATACATTTGAGGAATATAATCCTATTGAAAAAAGCGCAGATTCAAAATGTTTAATAATGTAAAGTATAACTAACTGCGGAAAACTGGTTTTAATTATTCAAAAAGCCAAGTCTTTCAAACTCAGCTTGAAGGGCACACAGCGATCCGGCATTTTCATTCTATTTTTTGTTATTTACTTCATGTCCCTGTTAAAAGCAGGACAGTCGATCACAGCATCTTCCTGTTTCATCATATAAAGCTGATCTTACATTACACAGCCACATGTCTATTTGAGAAAAATTGAAGGAGGAGGAAAGAGGCTGTTAAGAGAACAAACAACTGGATGAATGAGGGAACAAATTATGCAAGACACATCTATTTATTTTTCTACGTATCAACATTATATGCTGTGAATTCAATCATATGTCAGGAACTTTGTCTGCTTCTACTAAAACTATGATCACAAGAGTTAAATAGCTGGGAGGAAAATAATCTATTTCTGGAATATTCTTAGAATAGATCCTTAAAAGCAAACTCATTTAAAAATCGCTGTCCTACAGGGAAGCAGAGTACCAAGGCTTCCTTACACCCCACAAAAAAAAAAAATCTTCCTCAGATGGATCAAAGTATTTTATTTCGCTCCTCATTCTGAAACACAGACGGTGAGGTAAAAGACCCCGCAAAATTCTTTTGTCTCTGGGGAACGTTCTTGCAGTCTAATTGCAGCTAAATTACAAAATCGATGTGGTGGTAGCCCATGTACTGCTGTGTTCCACAGGGAGACCTGGGATTGTATTTTAAGACCACTCTGTTACCCGAATATCTGAGGAAAAAAAAAAAAGAAAAAAAAAAAGTGGAACTGAAACGGCATAGACGGCTTTAAACTAAACCTGATGTCAAAATATAAAAACTGCTCTAAAGCCATTCGCCACTTCCATCTGCCTGCATGAAACACAGAGCCGTGATGAAGTTCAGTGAGTCGCCCAAAGACGCGTTTCTTTACACCGACATGACAACAAAAAAAACATGTTTAATGTTCCATTTTAACCCAAATCACTTTGTTACTTCTGCCCTTTACCTGCTCAGCTCCCTTCTTTTTCTTTTTCTTCTTCCCCCAGCAACCGGAGCTCTCCCCTTCACATCCATTTGAATCACAAAGCAGCCCATCCAGCTCTTCGAGACCACCTTGCTGGCCGTGGGATGTCTCAGCAGCCAGTCTGTATGACAGATTCCTCAGAATACAAACACAGTTCTCTACAGTCTAGAGATAAAGCAAACGCAGGAGGAAGAGAAATGGTGTGGGGAGAAGGAAGATGAGACGAAGAAAAGATAAATGGTTAAAGTCCAAAAGTTGAAATGAAAGATCTGTTTGAAAACAAAAAAAAAAAAAAGGAAGTTCAAAAACAAGGCATCGCTTGAAAGGAAGAAAGAAAGAAAAAAAGAAAAAATCCACTCATATATAATATAAACCCCCAGGCGACACCCATGAGAAAGACAGATGGGAAACCAAACAACGTCCATAATCTCTCAGGTAATATGTTTTCTGCATTTTGTTAGCTCTGACTTTGAAATGAGATTAGAAAAACTCAAGTAAATGAGGAAAAATGACAAACCCAATATATTATCACACAGCTCATTTAACACTCGGTGCAGAGGCAAACCCTAAAGTCGCCGCGCCTGTGAGGAAGTGTGTGTCCCCCGTACACGGACAAACCATGTCTTACAACGTTTGTTGTCTATTCTTAAAAGCGCGCTTCCGAGACTTTGCGCAGCCGCCCGCGCGCATTTGTGTATCGCTGAGAAAGGGGAGTCATCAAATCAGCAGAGTGGAAATGATCAAAGACGAATAATCAATCTTCTCGCAGTCTGACCGTTGGTTTACACAAAGACGACTAAGGAGTGTAATTGAACAGCCTCAAGAGATGCAACAAAGAAAAACAATGTCTCACTCCAGTGAGCTGCAGTCATGTCTGAAATTCTATTCAGAGTCTATTACAGAATGATGTTGGAGGAGTTGTGTTTAATTTACAATTTACGGTGACATTTCATATTTCGATCTGTTGTTTCACGTTTATTCCGAACTCCTTTATTATAGCATACAAGGTTTATAGAGTGCAGAGACACTTGCGGACGGTTCTGTGTTACTCGAAGCTGTGAGACTGGGGTCACGTATGGATCGGCATCCCCACCATGTGTAACATTTATCGGATCCTCAGGAAAATAAGTTTGCCACTTGTTTACATGTTGGTCTTTTTTTTTTATTGCATGTCCTTGTTTATGAATCTATACCCTCACATTCTTCTTTGTCCTTACACTCCCACGAGTCACAAAACCATACACATAATACGTGTGTACACAAACAATAACGAAAGCAATAATGCGATGGACAGGCAATGTTGTACTCGGCTTCTAGGTCCTTCAGTTTTAATTACTCCTGCGATTAAATACAAATATGAGAGAATGCAGTCGGGTCATATGAAGCCAAATATATTGAGGACGAACGGGTCACACTTGAGAAACGTATGTTAGTAGTTTCTGAATTCATCTTGAGATTATTATTATCAAAAACGAAGGCTTTTATAAAGAAGCACACATGACATAGAAGGAAGTTAATGATAAATATATTCATCAAAATTCAGAATAAAGTACTGAAGAAAACAATTGAGACATTGTTAGGATACCGTTAGGACACTTTGTCTTACTTTGTAGAAACATACAAATATACTCGTGTAAAACTGCTTTTATTTTTATGCCACATGTTTAACAAACAAAAAAAAAATCAGACAAACTTCTTTTCTTGCAGTTTATAGTTGTCGATCAAATACCCTTTGTCGATCCTGATGTACAATTTTATTAAAATGTCTGAAAATGTTTGCATAGTCAGGAGCCCTGAATGTTTGTTCTGATTCATTGATTGAGCTCCCATTCAAAACTAAACTCAACTAAAGGCTCTAAATAAACAAAGCATTTCATCTAAATAAAATACGTTTAATTTGAAATTACTACAGTTTGAATTTATATGAATTCTCTGCAATTGAGATTTTTAGTCACTGTGATATTTTTTTTTTTCCCTTCTAAGTAATTTACAGGACACACCAAACTCTACGGCAGCTCGAGTAGCACAACGTATGATCCAGAATAAGACTAAAAAACAAGAAAATGGAACTGGAGGGCAAACAGAGTTTGTCCATGTTTGTTGTAGCAGAAACCATTAGATGGCTGATCTGCCAATCAGTCTTTGTTACTGAGGCAACGTCAGTCCTCTGGCGACTGCAGTCAAACAGTGGTGAGGGGAGGATGGTTAAACAGTGATTAAGGATGGCCATTTAGAAAAGGCTGGAAGACAGGGAGACCTTGAAAAGTCAGCCATCCAAAGCACTATTTATGTAATATTGACTGGCCTCCACACGCTTATATATACCGCGCGCCAACATGAATGTGTTCTGAGACAGAAAAATGCAGAATGAACACAAATTCACTCAACTTTGACTGCTGGCTTAATAGGCTGCAGCAAATGCTCTAATACTTTACATATAAAAGCTGTAACTTGGCTTAGTGAACTATAAACTCCTTCGAAACAAACAAAAAAAATGCTATCCTAGTGGTAATTGGCAAATGAGGGGAGATTCAGCTGCACTTTCGTTTTATTCAAAGGTTACGCTGAAGGTTGTACAAGTGTTTCTGGTGTGACAAAGTAGTGTAAAGACTCTTTGCTTCCCTGACTAAATGATAAACGTTTCAGAATGAAATGCAGAGTTTGTGCATAAAAAAAAAGCCAACATTTTCAGGGGAGAACTAATAAATACCTTGCTGTCGATCTCGCTGCTCCCCAAGGAGATCTGAATAACGTAGAGCAGAGCATCTGTAAGGCCGTCACACTCTCTCATTCTCCGTCGCGCTTCCTCACCTGCTGAGCTTACATTTCTGAAACACACCAAAAACAAGCCATGTAAAAAAAAAAAAAAAAAAAAAAAAAAAAAAAAAAAAAAAAAAATTTTTAAAATTTTAAAAAAAAACCAAAATTTTTCCCC